TGCTATTACCCCTATTTGATCCTTATGACCCTCGTGATCCTTGTGAGTGTTTGGACCGTTGGATTATTCACAAAGAAAGAACCTAAACGTAAATGACGCTCAAAATCGTCGTAAATTACGATTACATAAACATAATTTACGATTTCGTAGCCGTAAATTACGCTCAAAGATGCCGTAAATTAGGATGATTTTTTTTCATATTTTACATTTAATATAATTAAAGTAGATATAAATAATTGAATCAACATTCCAATTTCTCGAAAAAAGAGAGACAAACTAATTGCATTTCATGAAAAAAATCGTTGTTCATGAGTTTGAATTAATTATTAATTGATTAAAAATTAGATGGTATGCATCTGCTGTTGTTGGAAAACTTTCTTCTCTCAGGCTGAGAACGAAATTATTCATCAGATTTCACGATTTTTAAAATTGACAAGAGAATATTTTCTTGCATCAAGTAAATCTTCTTTGCCATAAGTAGTTTTTCTCTCAGTGTACGAGCCGATACTATACAAGTCCTCAAGCACATTGACCAACATTCCATAATTGCGCTAAAGAGTTATCGAGCTAAAGGCTTATCGAGCCTTTTGTGTCTCTGATTATAAACGATTTACAATTATTATAATTGCTGGGTAATTAGCGCTCATGACTCAGTCCAATCGTTCAGTTTGCGCTCCCTATTGTTAACCTCCACTCAGTTGAGAAATAATGAAACAGTTTGGGTTTATGTATCATATCGAAGTAATTATGCAATTACCACCCGCTAACGAGGGGCTTCAAGCGAAATTATGAAAATGTCTTTTTCATGGCGAATGGTTTCAGCTCCGAGAAAGGTTTTTTGACTATTTGCCCTCAAGTCACTTATCCTCAAGATAATTGCATAATTAAAAAAGATGTTATGTTACATTTCATCGGTTTCGTCACTCGACAGAATTGCTCCTGTTATTTCTTCATCATCATCTTCATTAACACCTCCTTGTAAAAAATGCTGGAGTGATTGGAACCTGTTCACAGTTGTGGCTCCGCCGACTCAGTCTTCAAGGTTTCGGGAATTGTAACATTTTTTTATTTCCAAGTATAGCTGGTGACCGGATTTTTTTCCCCCGGAAAAAATTCCCCGGAAAAAGTTTCCCCGGAAAATTTTTCCCGTGGAAAAAAATCCCTCGCCTAAATATTTCCGCAGAATATTTTCCCCCGAAAAATTTCCCTGAATTTTTTCCCCGAATAACTTTTCCTTGGTATTGAATTAAGTCAATACCAAAACCAAAAAAAATGGAAAAAATTAGAAAAACAAACTCAAAGTTAAATAATATCACACTTTTTTAATTTTATGGTTAATGTTGAATTTATGATTGAAAAAGTTGTATTGAATAGAGATTGTTTTCTGTGTGTCAGACAATTTTTTGAAGAATGATTGATGGCGAATATTATTTCATTAATAAATTCGGATATGGTTAAATGAGGATGATTTTTGGATTTTATGTGATTGAGTTGTGGTTCATCGATTATGGAGGAAAATTGAATTGAAAAATTTGATTTTTTTTGTCATGTGTTTTTGCCGATTGAGAGATATAATAAATTGAGTTGATATTGGTAATGTGTGTATGTGTAATCGTCATTTGACCCATAAGGAGAATTAATTCCGGGAATTTATTTCCGAGGAAATTTTTCCCGGGGGGATTTTTTTCCGGGGAATTTTCTTCGGGGAATTTTTTCGGGGGGGGAAAAAATCCGGGAACCGTGTAGCTTTGTAATTTTTCAAATTCAAGTTTCCGGTTTTTTGTGTTATATCGACCCAGTACGATCCAAAAAGTGTAAGAATAGTAATAATGATGCCATTCAAAGTCCAAAACCTGACACAACTGTTTAAGAATAAATCTCATTTACTTTAGTAAAGCAAAATAAACAATGAATTATATAAAATAGAAAAATGATGATCTTCAAAATGACAATTGGGAAGCGTATTGCTAATTTATTAGCAAAAATAACTCTACCGTATGAAGCCAAGAGCGATTTCCCAATTATTTTGGATCAGGGTCAGATGAACGCGTGAAACGGAGTGTTGTGATTGGCCTTATTTCGGTCCCAATTTTACTCCACTTCAGGTTATCGGACATATCCCTTTGGGGTGGATTACAACTTTCACGTGCATTCAATTGTCAAGGACGTCTGGGGCACACCCGGATTTTCCCTGGTTCTCTTGAAGGTTTTCAAGGGATCCAAATTAATTTTTTACCGTTGAAAGGTCTCAGCTGATTAATAAGTGATTATAATTCAGTTGTATCGGTTTTGTACTTGCTGACAACTGGAACTTTCGCCATGGATTGCTCAATGCAGCTAGAATCACACGGTGGAGTTTCGTTAGTTGTCACTAATGAGTTTCGGTTTCTTTCAATTATTTAGGAGTCATTTCGAAATTTTGGAAAGCTTCAGTGTTGAATCGAATGCTAAGATCACACCAATTCATCACAATAAGCCATAATAAATTTTTTCTCCTTTAGCGACTAGGGGAGATTGGGGCAAAGCAGCTGTCAAAGCTTCTATCATACTTATATTGCTTTTTAGTAATCACTATTCACATTCTGAAATTATCAATTCGTGTCTCCAGTGTATGACAGTTGGGGGTCCAGTGGAGTGGTGTCCAAAAAATTTAAAATAATTATAAATGTTGTTTCTTTGTTTTTCACATTCGAATCTCCAAAAAACGATAGAAAAACTCTGAAATCGGTAGGGTTTTAATTAAAATACCCAATATAGTGGTTTATCCCGGCGTTTGAAAGAATTGAACAAATTTCCAGAGTTCTTCCATATCCGAAAAATTTTTCCTTCGTACTACTCGAGTTTTTTGAGTTGTTTTTGACTTTTTATTGATCCTTGATAGACCCCTCGTCAACCCCTTGAATTTCCCAATTTTTGCCTTTTTTTTATGTACCCCACTATGCCCCGGCCACCCCGTTTTGCCCCGGTCTCTTCTATACAGTAAACAATTCGGTGTTGATTCTGATACCAAATTAGTTTTCTGGAAAGCTCGTACCGATCTCGGCGTGGCTAGCGGTATTAAAATTTTGGTGTGAACAATAAATTCGGTTAGAGATGTGCAATATTGTTACTTTTATGTCCCGAAAGTAGTCGTCACAATATGAGAAAGTATTTGTTCCTCAACACTCGTTACTCGTAACTTTTTTGTTATCGATGATTGAAATAAAAAATAAGAGTTAAATAATGAGAAGAATCAAATGAGATAAAGTGGCGGGGTGAAATGCGGATAATGAAATCATAAGTTAATATTTTCTTTAATAACATATTTTCAAAGAAACATTTTATATCGGTTGGAGAATTTTCTGTCACATCTTTTCGAGCTTTTAGAGGATGAACTGGGAGTTTGCATTGAGGAACATCATCATTTACAAAAAATACCGAATACTTTGTATCTATAACTTCGGTGTTAACGTTAACACTGAGGAGTCGTAGTGAGTAACACTGCATGGAGTGAATTTTTTCTCCAAATTCGCCTCACAACAACGCCTAATAAAACAAACTATACTATACTATAGGGTCTATTCGGTCTCACCAAATGTTCATTCGTTAATAGTCAACAAATGCATATTTGAGAATTCTTGTTTGACTCGATTCTATGAAGCTGAAACTAGCCACAGCAGAAGATTTCTCTTAGACGAATCTAGGAGTGTACAAATGTTTTACATGGAAAAAAATACTTGAATTGAGTATAAAATATACTTGAATCAAGTATATTTTATACGCGAATCCAGTATATTGTATACTTGATTCAAGAATATTATTTTTGATTTGAGTATATTATATACTTGATTCAAGTATATTTTTTTCCGTGATATTTAAGTCATGTACATACTCTTTCGCACTTGAAAAACATTTGTACATATGATTATTTGACTCTCCTACACTTAAAGTAGCTCTACCCTTCGGCGGGGTTACGTTGCACTTTTGGATATTTTCAGTTTTCGCATTTGTCAACTAAATTGCATGGGAAAAATTTGAAAAAATTCATACCCAGTTAGTTTTATCTAAATTAAATTTCACAAAATATTAATATTTTCTCAACCATTTCCTTCTTATAAATAATTTTTTAGAAAAATTCTAGTGCTAGCACGGGAAAAGAGGCGCAAAGTGACAGCCAGGAAAAAATTCCAGTGCCGGCACTAGAAATTTTATTGAGGAAAACGTGAATTTTTCTTCGTATTTCTGTGAAAATTTCACAGAAATCCCCAGAAATTTTACCAGAAATACCAAGAAATTTTACGTTAACAGCACTAGAATTTTTCACAGCCGGTGGATTGTGATTTTTTCCAAAATTCGTACTAGAATTTTTCTAGAAAATTTCTCTCCGTGTGTTTGCAAAACAGTGCATCACTTTTTATAAGGTGTCAAACAAATTCTTGATTTTTTCACATCTAATGAAGAAAAAATTCAGATTTTAATCTTTGATTACAATGGAAATGTTGATTTTCGCATATGACACCGGGTTAAATCCTGATGTTTAAACATTTCCTCTAGAAAAACCAAAACGATAGTTGAATTGAGAAAAAAATTAGGATTTCGAATCTAATCGAGTCTTGTGGAAGTTTTTTGCAGTTTTCAATAATCTTTGAATTTATCGTAAGGGTAGAGCTACTTTAAATATCCCCTTAATTGAATTTTCCGCTGACGAATATCCTGCCAGTTTCAGCTTCATCTCGATTCTGACTTTTCAAGTGCACCATTTGTTAACTATTAACGGATATCTATTTACTCACATTCAACTCTACCATTCATTAATAGTTAACGAATCTCGTTTAAAATAAATGCATCATCCTATCAGTGTAAAATTTCGTTATGCAACTGAGAAAGACATAAATATACAAAAAATCCAAAGAATTGATTAGGGAACGTCCTCCATGCATATCCCATATTTTATTCCTGACATTAAAATTTCCAGTTTGGATACACCTCCTGGCAATTACTCATTATCCTGATCTTTTCAGGTCGATGTTTCGCCCTCGACGACGATCAGACCACGAGGTGGCTCTCGCTTCAGTCCGAAGGTCGAGGAAACACCCGAGACGTCCCCGCAGCCTTTCTCCTCTCAATCGAGGTCGAGTCGTCGAGGGAGGCCCCCAGTTACCTCACCGTCAGGAAGAGCAGCTGACAAGAAGACTGAAACAACCACCCTGAGAAGTAGGCGTGACCGTGATCGTAATAACGAGGTGAGCAGAAATGCAAAGGTGATCACGGAAACACCGAATTCCCCGAGGGGAAGGGAGGTCTCAGGGTCAGCGAGTGTGAGGAGACATTCACCAGCTAGGGGACAGGTGTCGGAACATGAGGCTGATCTGGCTAGAGCAGCGAGTAGTGATAGGAGGTATTTACCGGAAGGTAGAGAGAGGAGAGGAAGAAAGCTTGGTCACGAAGTACCGCTGGAGCTGCCGAAGGAGAGTCCTAAGGTGGTGAGTAGAAGGCAACGAGGAAGAACCAGCGGTGAAGAGACCACTTCTACCACGACAACAACTGCTAAGCCCAGACCTACAGGAAGAAGTCGGACTAGAGATTCCAGTGAATCCAAGCGATCTTCTCCTAGAAGAATCACTGAACGAAGCACAGAAAGACGCACAGCTGATAAGGACAGATCAACGCCTAGAACCTTAGGAAGACGAATCACCGAGCGCAGCACTCGAAGGCATGATCCATCACCTCCGAATGCCGATCAGGTGCCAGTGGGAACTACCTCAACAGTGAAAAGCACCACTCTCTTCACATCGAGGAAAAGTTCTCTGGAAACTGCAGAGTATGCAGAATACACTCGAAGATTTCCGTCAAAGTATTCAGTCTTTACACCCGGAGAATTTGAAAGTTTTGATCCACTCAAAGATGTTCAAACTGAAATCAACTCTAGGAAATCCAATGCCGTAACTCTTTCTCCCAAGCTTCGCAGTCACGGAGGAAGATCTGAACCGACTTCCAAAAAAACGCAAAATTCAATTGAAGCTGATTCTTCCACCAAGTCTTCACCTAGAGCCAAGGCCGAAAAGAAAACTGCATCATCAGAGAAGATCTCTCGTTTCAGAGCTAGATCAGAAACTCCAAAACCTCGACCCGCTAAAATTGAGATAAACACATTGAAGCCGAAGGTATCCGTCAAGATTGATAAATTAAGATCATCGAAAGAGGATTTCCTACCTCGCGGTAAAGCCCCGGGGGAGATCGATAAACTGCGATCATCGAGACAAGAGATTACCCTAGAAACGACAACTGAGTCTCTTGAGACGACGCCTGCAGTGACAACACTTCTATCAGACCCCGTGGATACAACACCTTCTTTCTTTGCTTCAGAGTCGTTTCTTGCATCGACACAAGTGTCACCAATCGCCCTTCCCACTTCAATCTCTTCATCTTCTTCGAGTGGAGAAGAAAAAGAGAGTGTCAATAAACGAAGACAGGCGCCAGTGACTTCAAACCCTTCGAACAGGCCATCGCAGCCTCCTCCACCGAAAGAAGATTACTTCAATCGTGGATTGGGATTCCGAGGGAGGAAGCCTCACGGAGCGTCAGCTCCAGGGGCACCCCAGGGGAATCCCACTAGTGGAAACCCAGGGTGGACCCTCAAGAGACGACCTCATAACTATGCAGATGGTAACCAAACAGGAGGAACGACGCCATCAGTAGCCACCAACGAAATTCCTTCTCCTGGCCCTCGTAGGCAGGTAGCTTCGGTGGTATTCAAGATAGATAGAGAGATTACGTCTGACGATAATTATCCTCCAGAGTTCAAGGCCAAATTGGCTACACTGGTGAGTTGATGGCATATTAGGGGTCATTCAAATATTACGTCACACGTTTTCTGGAGCCCATTCCCACATTCTCATCTGGCGGACTCCCCGATTCAGAATTGATTCATCGTCGAGCTAGAACCCGATCGGTTCATTATGTCGATAACCATTCGATTATTGGTCGATCGGTTGGTTATCTACCAATAATCGAATAATCGAATGAGTATCGAGGTACTAAACCGGTCGGACTTATGAATAGATAGATCCGTCGGGGTAGTCCCCAGAGATAAATATAGTTAACGGGCAAAATTCATTCATTTCACATCTGGTATTCAACAGCATCTTTAAAATGGTTCGGTGGTAATTGGTACAACCTTAGAATCCGAATATCTTCAAAGCTCGTATGTACTACTTTAGTGCAAAACCAAAGTCGTGGAGTCTTGAGTGCACCATTCTTGTGGTCCTTTTTTTATCATTATTTTACATCGCTTCGACCCGGTTAGGGTATACTGCGATGATGATCAAGACTTTAACTGGTTAGATCGCACCATTCTAGCCGGCCGGGATTTGAAGTCGGAACCTTTCGCATGTGAGGCAACGAACTTACCCACTGTGCCAAGCCACCGGGGTAGTTTGTGGTTCTTTCTTATTATATCTATCGATTCAAAAAGCTATCTGTCGATTTTCGGCTTGATTCAAGTCAATTTTGAATGAAACCCAAAAATCGACGTAAATCAAACCGAAAAATCGACTTGAATTAAATAGAACAATCGACTTGAATCAATAGAAAAATCGACTTGAATCAAATTGAAGAAACAACTTGAATCAAGTCGCAAAATTGACTTGGATCAAACTGAAAAATCGACTTAAATCAAATAGAACAATCGATTCGAATCAAGCCGTAAAATTGACTTGAATCAAACAAAACAATCGACTTAAATCAAACAGAAAAATCGACTTGAATCAAGCCGAAAAATTAACTTGAATCAAATAGAAAAATCGACCTGAATCAGACCGATGTGCCGGTTTGCATCCGACTCAGACTTGATTCATTCCGACGATCCACCATGAAATAAGTCGATTCCGATTTTTCGATTTGATTCAGGACGATTTTTTTAGGTGGAATTCCGAAAAATATCCAGGAGTATAGCAATGGACGGGTAGTTACTTAATCGAATCAATGCTTTGCGCGTATTAGGCATGTTGTAATCACACGCAGGAGTTGCCGGTAGCTTCGAGATTGACTCATCTGCGTAATTGGGGCTAGTTTAATCTTCGTGATTGCTGATTCAACCGGAGAATTATTAAATTACTCTCTTCCATTAATAATTAGATTATTATTATTAAATTTACAAGGAATTAGTTTCTCCCATTCCTTTCCAGAATCGCTCCGATCAGAATGCTCCAGGAGGTGGGTCTAGGATTACTGAAGTGAGTACATTTCAATAACTAACTTTATTCATAATCAATAATAATTCACATAGAATAATACTCCGCATGGATAATACAACAAGACTCTTCTTCTTCAACTTAGATCAATAATCAAAAAATTAATCTTAACTACGTTTTTGACGCTTCAGTGCCTCTACCTAAGAATAGTTACGATGAAAAGTTACAAAACGGGGACAAATTAGTAGAAATTAGTTGGATAACGCATTAAGACGCTATTTATTCTCCCGACCCGTATATAGGACATAATGATGACTGTTATCCGACACTCACGCTCGGTCGACCAAAAAGTTATCGACAGTGCATTCCCGGAAAATGATCAATTTCCGGAGACAGTTTCCCCATTTCCGGTAGTGACGACTCCGTTAGGGGATCCGGAGGAGGCGCTCGACGTAAGGAATTATTCTTGCTGCTCGGGATGATTTTTTTTTCGGGCTGCGTATTTTGAATGTGGAGTTTCCAATTGAGACTGGGCAATAATTGTCGCTTGGGAGAAATTGCAATTAATTTTTTTTCCTTGGGTTTTGGTGACATTTTCATTTGTTTTCAATTTTGGCAGGTGGACAATTTCTAACCGTTATTTTTTTTTTATTACGTTTCGTGAATTTTGAGACAGCAAAGACAATCCAGACACGAAGGGGTGAAGGGAAGAAGAATGAATTTATGGGCAGATTATTTGGATAATATTTTCGGAAAGGAGAGCTTTAGTTGAATTTATCGAAACATTTTTTCGGAAAAAGGTCCTTTGATGTACGAGAAACAAAATATACCTGAGGTGAGTTAAAATATACTTGAATCAAGTATATTTTATACTCAATTGGGGGATGGGTATTTCAATTCGAAGATGATTCTTTTGTGTCAGGCCGGGTTGTAGCAATCTCTCTGTAATATAAAGGTCAGGCACTAAGTGTCAGAATATGAGGTTGTAAATATAAGTCATATATTCTGCTTGATCACCGTTTTCAACTCTTATATGATCCTTATTGACTGACACCCACTTTTTTTACTTTTATATGCTGATCCTAATTTTTTGATTCTAATATTCGGACCCTCTTTCTTTAACCCTAACATTTTGACCATCATTCCTTCACCTTTGCCTTCATGCCCCCAGTTTTTGATTCTAATATTCCGACTCTCATTTTTTAACCTCCACAGCTTGACTCTTATATTCTCACACTTAGTGTCTGACCCTTATATTACACTTGAAAGTGCCTGGGATAACCCGGGCTGATACGAAATAATGAATCTCGAATTGAAACACCCATCCCCCATACGAGTAGTGATGCCGTCGAGACTACACGAAATTTTTTTTGGATAGATCATCACTATCTGAAAAAACATCAAAAGTTTTGGAATCGTTGCAATCTCGAAAGAAATTGGGTTGATGCATCTCGTCACGATTTTTTGAATAGTTATTTTGCCTAGGTCTCGACTTTTTCGTTTTTTCCTTTTTTTTTATATCGACGATATATCGTAACGATATATCGGCGATATAAAAACAGAAAAAAACGAAAAAGTCGAGACCCAGGCAAGATAAGTCCTCCCAAAATCGTGACGAGATGCATCGATCCCATATTTTTCGAGATGGCGACGATTTCAAAACTTTCGATGTTTTTTCTGACCGTAATGAAGAAGATTCTTCTTTTTATAGTGCATTAATTGGGTTCCGGAAAACAGAAACTTTTTTTTCTCTGTGTACCAATTCCGGAGATATTTGCGAAATGATCTGCCCGTGAATTTGAGACGACTCCCTTTACCCCTTCACAACAGCATTCCTGTGGCTTTATGTGCCTTTATATCCCTGCGATTCGCTTACATATGCTCCCATTCCTCTCCGACAACTCCCCAAATGAGAAAGGGTATAATTCGGCCAAGAGCGGAGATTCCCCAAAGGCCGTTTAATCCGTGTAGCCCCGCCTGCATTAATCATGTGGCCGTTGATCTCTTTTTCCTCAATCTCCCGGAGAAAGTACCCAAGAGGTATTACAAGTGTATGTGTGCTATCGTTTGAAGGTGGACACGAGGTGAACACGATTCGGGTCGATCGCGAGAGAGAGAGAGAGAGATAGCGAGAAAAAAAACTCACAAACCAGAAACAGAGAGTTACACAATTGGCCATTAGTCTTTACAGCATTACCGTTTTTATTTGCACTAAAAACATTCCAGAAGTGATCTGATTCAATTTAATTCACTATTAAATCCCTCTTGTACATATTTCCCGTAGTCCTGAGGGTCCAGCGAACGGTCAGATACAAACAACATTAACTATTTCAGTTTTTCTCATCGGCCATGACAATGTGGTCCTTCGTCCAGCCATTGATATCCCGGATCGGCTCATACTTCCGTACAAATTCCCCCTCTGACCTTGAGTACCCCAAATAAACCTTCCCTAAAAAAAACCCTATCATATCGCGTTGCATCGGAGACTCCTCAAGAAAACGGACACTCTACGAACAACCCAATATAAAAATCATGAAAAAATACAAATCGTTCGTTTATCCAAAACACAATGTAATCCACTTCCCGGGAAAGTTTCCCCGAGTGTTCATCGTGGAGTGAATGATGGTGAAAATAAGAACTGGATGAGAAAATAAAGAGCATGCCGCTTAAGCCTAATTTTATATCTGTGAAAATCTCATTAAAACCTAAAACGAGCCCAAAAATCACAGTTGATATGGCACTGTGACTTCGCGAGAATAAAAGTGCATGTGGCATGAACCAATAGACATTTCATTGGCTTCCGGATGCTAATAAAAACGATAAATAAGGTAAAAACATCGGAAATGCTTCGGTGTGCATGAAAGGTGACTGGATTGAGAGCTCTAGAGACGAACCGAAGACTTTTCAGGGGTCGAAGAAGCGTCCGCCGAGCGTCCCAATATCGTCCAAGTCGAGGGAGAAGTTGGCGAACGCCAGGAGGCTGATAAAACCAGAGCTCAAGAGCGAGGAGATCAGTGGAAGCGATGAGACAGCAGCACTGAATCCACCAAGGACGATCAGCAGAACAACAACCACGAAATCCCCACCTCAATCTTCGAAAGAAGTCTCCCGAGCGGGCAAACGTTTTGGAACGTCAACGACTTCAAAACCTCCGACAACAGTCCCAATATCGAAATCCTACACAAGAACGAGTAAGAGCGTTCAACGGAGTGACATCAGAGTAGTGGAAACCACGAGTATTCGTAAACTTCGTGTGGAAAAAGCCACCGAAGACAACGAATTGATCCAAACCACCCTCCCTTACTCTCCTGAAACGTCAACAGAAGCCGTAAAATCGCAGACAGTCAAGTCGTGGGTCCTCTCCCAAAGAGCGAAGAGCCCCTCCACCGAAAGATCCCCAACGACTACCAGAAGATCACGTTCTCAGAGCTCAGAAGAGTCAACAACAAGGTCGTCATCCCTGGAAACAGTGACCCATATCTTGAAGATTCCCAGATCGACCAAGAGACCTAGACACTGGAACGCTGCGTACATCGACAAGAACTGGCAGGACCCGTCGGAGAGATCCTCCGAGTCAACGGAGTCCTCGACAACGAGACGATCGTTTGCACCGTCGAGAAAACTCAACTCCTCGGAGTCCTGGAAGTCCTCCGAATCAGGACCTACAACGGGGAGACCTTTCCAGCCAATGAAGCGCCGAGAGAACCGCCCAAGAACCGCGACATATCGTCGGCATTCAGAGGGGGTTGTAAGGTCAGCAACAACAGGTGCACCAGCGGAAAGTGTCGCGATAACTCCGAAGCTTCCGAAATTCCACTCTTCCGTGAGGTCTTCAAACTCTTCGGAGCGGTCGGCAAGACAGGAACCCGCGGTGAGCCTCGCGGCGTCCAACGGAACTGTCTCCAGCGACGGCAACTCAACGGGTATTTCCCTGACTAACCGAGGCAGCAGTGGTACCGCTCCCGGTTCTGATTCAAACATCTTCAATCCCGCGAAAACTACGTACTTGATAAGCTCTAATGCCACTTTACTGGAGCAACTGCGGAGCACCGTTGCCCCGCTATTGACAGCGCTAGGCAACAGGACTCCCATTTTCTCGGCTGCCTACAGCACTGTCGACCCTGGAGTGAGTTAATTAGAGTGGAATTCAAACTGTCGCTGAATTTTCGGCCGATTGCATCTCGAAATGATTAATATCGCAATTTTTTTTATAGAATTCAACGCGGGTGACACCGAGTGGCTCTCCTGCAAGATTCAGCGCCAGATATCGGGGTGCTGAGTTGTTCGTGAGAAAACCGAGTGGCCTTGATTCATCAGGACCCACTACACCACTCACGTCAACTAAGGTAGGATTTATGATGCATTCGCGTTCTTAAATCTTCATTTTTGCAGTTTTTTCGGCAGTTCTCACAGCACTTTCTGGCATGTTCATCTTTTTTTTATTTTTTTTCATTCTTCTGTTTTTTTCTATTGAGTTTTGTGAGAATCCGGGATTATGGATTTTTGAAATTATTTTGCTGTTGTAAATGAATTTTATATGAGGTATTGCATGCCAAGTGATCATCGGCTGACCCTCACCCTCTTGGAAATCAATCTCGATTTTTTCTATGATTGGGGGATAGAAACACTATCTCTCAATTTTTTTCAGGTTTTTTCGATAGCCCATTACGGAGATATGATTTTTTTTTGTTTTTTATTTTTTTTCCATAACTCGTGTTCTATTCAGCCGATTTTAATTAATAACGCTTATCTATAAGAAAATGGGTGATTTTTTTTTCAATTCCTAGATTTTCATAATCCCGAATTTACAAAAAAAAAAAAAAATTTGAAAAACTTGAATTCGCAAAGTTATGCCACCTTTAATTTTTCTCCTCTTTTTTACAGTAACTCTTATAATCGAAATAAGTATTTTGAGCCGTCATACAAAATGGGTTTCGCCCTGGATCTATTTTATTTTTAATTTTTTCTTCTCGAAATTCCGCGAATTCGGTCAAAACACCTCAAAATGACTTCGATTATGTATCGAAAAAATATGTACCATATAAGTATACATTTAACTTCACTTCATACTGTTTATAATCAAAGTCAATCAACGCAATTTTGGAGTATTGTGACCAAATTTGTGAAATTTCGTGAAGAGAAAATTGCAAATAAAATAGATTTAGCACGAAAGCCAACTTGTATGATGGCTCAAAATACTTGTTTTGATTACAAAACTTACTGAAAAAAGACGAGAAAAATAAAACGTGACATAATTTTAAAAATTCAAGTTTTTTAACTTCTTTTTTGGAAATTCGATATTACGAGCATCTAGGGGTTGAAAAAAAAATTACTCAAAATATTCTTATAGATGGTAGAAAATCGAAAACTTTGACGTATCATAAATCAAAATCGGATGAGTAGAACTATAGTTATTGAAAAAAAAAAAAGAGAAAAATCATATCTCTGAAAAATATTGTATTTTATCAATCTTGTATATATAAACTTGTACCATATTGTTGTCTAGTCTTCTTTGTAAATATCTATCCATATTAATAAATTTTGTTGAATCTTGAATCTTGAATACCTCTGAAATGAGCTGTCGAGAAAATCTGAAAAAAATTAAGAGATAGTTTTTCTAGCCCCCCAATCGTAAAAAAAATCGAAATCAATTTCCAAGAGGGTAAATGTCAGCCGTTGACTCATTTGACGTAAAATACCTCATATGCAATAGGCAAGAATTTAGAAGCTTGCAGATCTTGAAATTCTCGGAAATCAGTCGACAATTTCAAAACCCACGTTAACCACTATCGAGTGCCATAATCACGACTTTTATTTCAATAATGGAAACTTAAAATTTCTCACAAGGATACACGTGCACTTATTCCCACCAGGATAGAACCCACCATATGCACAAGTGAAAGTATATTCGTTTCGCTCTCGTTGAAACCGCGTTACACACACGCAGCCACCTAAGTTGTAATAATAAAAGACTGTAATAATAATGAAACAACAACATAATGTTTAAACACCAGTTTGACCCGTGAGATCTAGAGCATTAGTGGGTGGATGAAATATCGCCAATAGAGAATGACGTGGGGTCAGGAGTTATGGCGGGTGAACATTATCCACATTATTGAGATACTAACAACCCAATGATTTCGTGTTTAATAATTTTAATGATCCTGCAGGTGTAGAGCTTTTCTTTTTAACACAAAAATCCCGCAGCATGCACAGAAAAAAAAAGATTCAGTTTTTAGGGATCTTCGGCGTTACAAAATTTAGCGAAAGCCATAATCCTCAATTTTTTAATTTTTGTCACGAACTTTCAGTGATTGAATTCTTCAAGTTTAGAGTAATTCTGTACTGTTAAAAATTTTTGGCTGAAATTTTCAGTATTTTTTTTTGGAAATACTTATCAAATTACGGTAAATGTACCTATGCTCGTCGCTGTGAATGTACCTATCCTCGTTTAGATGTCGCGCGCTATCACATTTCAATCATTCTGACAGTCCCAAGAATCTGTTGAGGGGAGACCACTATGAGTTTTAAAAGTCACGAGCTACTACAATGCGATTTCTAATATACTGAAGATCGATTATACATGTTTAAAAATGTATAATTAGCGCAAAAAAAATCATTGTTTATTGTTCGCTTACCCCACAGACGCTTAAAATGTTAAAAATAGTCTAGGGCCTTCAATTTTTGAGCTAGTTTTCTTTTCAAATTTTTTGAAGAAATGTGTGCAATAACAATTACGGCTTAGTTTTTTGACATTTAACTCCTACATAGCTAATTTCGTTTTTTTTTTAAATAAAAAATTGCACCATTCATGTAAAATTGCCCGAAAAATGTTTCTGAAAGAATGGAGAATATATTTTAAATATTTTAAGGATAATTTTTCTTCCTATTTTACATGAATGGCTCAAATTTTTAAATTAAACAAAACGGAATTAGTTGTGTAGGAGTCGAATTTCAAAAATCGAATTCAGAACACATTTGTTACTGTACACATTTTTTCAAAAATTTTGAAAAAGGAAAACTTTTGTAGGTCAAAAATTGGAGGCCCTGGACTATTTTTAACATTCTAAGCGTCTGCGAGACAAATGAGCAATAAACAATTTTTTTTTGCACTAATTATTTGATTTTAGACATATATAATCGATCTTTAATGCATGAGAAATCTCACTCCAATAGTCCGCGAGTTTTAAACCTCGTGACAAACCCCCGAAAATGTCCTGATTGAAAATTCAAATGTTATGAAAAATGAATCGCAGCTGTGAATTTCTGTTTATTTATTCCTTGAAAATTAATGGAATCAGGACAATTCAGATAAATATATTCTTAAATTTTCAAACAATTGAGAATTCAAGGAAGTTGGTAGATTTACGTTTTCCTGCTGCTCAAAAATGTGGAATTTTATTGAACTTTCAGTGAGATCTAAAATTTAATGATTTTTTTCCCCTTATTAAATCGAATTCATTATTACTCAACTGGAAATTATTAGCCAATTGGTCATGAAATTTGTTTTTTTTTTCTGACAGTGTAATTAGTGGTAATAATTCTTCCAAATTAGAGATAGAGATCCCTAAAATTAGAAATAGATTTGATAGAATGAAGACTAAATTTTAAAAAATTACGGATATATCACTAAAATCTGAAAAAAATTTTTATTCTGTGTGTACGGAGAAGAAAATCAACGAAAATTGACAAGGAAAACCCAGTCAAAATTACCCAACGGTGTACAATGAAAGTTCATGGAAAATGTGATTTACCTGACTTTCTTGTACTTTTTATTTACCAACAACTCACAAATTTTACTGTTCGTTTGCGTTCGTTTGCGAAAAATTATGTTACGAAGTTGATTTCAAGTAAAAGTTTACGAAATACAATTTCACTCTTCAATTACCTAGATTGTACATTTATTTTTCGTTGACTTTTTTCTTCGCGTGTAAAAATTCGGAAAAAGATCTGTTAATTGTTTGATCACTATATCGAAAATCAACAGCTCACGAAATTGAAATCATTACAGAGAAATACGAGACTAAAGTATTTCGAAGACAACTTGATGCATGGCAATTTGCCTTCGAAATATATTCGAAATTAAAAAAAAAGGGATCAAGTCCAACACGGAGAGAATATAAAATTAAACATTACAATGTGAACGTAGTAATCTAGGACCATACCGAAACAATTTTAAAATTTGATTCATCCACTGAGAGAAAAAAAGTTGTTTTTATCCGATTAACGAACATAATTTTTCCGTACTGCTTTCTCACTTTTCCCAGTCCAGGGATTGGTATTGACCTTTCTCCAAACTGGTAAAACTGAAAATCACTACGGAAAAATATCATACGAAATATACTATTTCATCACAATGTCTGCACGGAGAAAAATTTTTGATGAAAATTACCCTACCGTTCTACAAAAGTGTATCATGAGTCATCGTTTCTTCATTTCTATCCCGAAATTTAGTAAAAATTAATATATGATGATCAAATTTTATTCTACGTAAGAGGGATTTTATCCTGACGCATAATAAATTTTACCCTTTCAGTCCAGTAATTTTTATGTAGATAACAACGAAAATTCTAGAACGGTTGGTAATTTTACTAGTACAATAATTTTTACTCTACCTGCACGGTAATTTTTATTTTTATCAGGATAAAATTTCTCTAACGTAGAATAAAATTTGATAATCATATATTAATTTTTACTAAATTTCAGGATAGAAATGAAGAAACGATGACTCATGATACACTTTTATAGAACGGTA